TATCTGTATGTATGTGTTTTTCTATTACTTTAATTGTTATTTTTTGCGGGCATCCATTGTTTGAAACAGACAGCACGATTTTATTTTAAGCAGTGCGTATTACATCTATCGGCGGCCTGCGCACTCGTGAAAACCTAATAAAAAGAGTGAATGGGTACACTCCGGCAGAGCTCAAACCTGCATCCCTCTCGATCCGCTGTGCTTCCGACCGACCGGCCACAGTGAACAGCAAGACAATCAAGATCCTAATTTCCATTTCAAGAAATGTTCGCTCCCTCGGTCAGATTTTTCTCAAAAGTCCATATCTTCTCTGCTTCAAATCCGAATTGTAAACAAAACAATTTCTAAAACAAATGGATTTATTTTTAATTCAAACGTACAGGAAGTCTATTTCAATATCACGCCACCCTCTGACGACATACTTAAGTTTTTGCCTTCAATAACCAGTTTTATTATTCCAGTCTTATTCCAGATATAGCGCATTAAACTGAGACCTTCGTGAACGCTGATGTTAGAGCAGTGTTCACTGTTCTTCTTTAAAAATGTACTTATATTTCTCTTTCCCCATATATATATATATATATATATATATATATATATATATATATATATATATATATATATATATATATATGTGGTGCATGTAAACGAGTGTTAGAATATTCGTTGTCAAGCCATGTGAACCTTGTTCGATTGTTATTGGGCTGTGAAGATCCTTTGGTATGTGTCCTCACGAGCCCTGTGACGGATATTGTATAGACGGAAACATTCAGAAGCCGTCAATGGTTTTCTTAACACGAAGTCACATGTCATCATGATCAAGCTTTCTGAAAGTGAAGGCTTTGTTCAAACTGCCAATTTCTGCAGAGATTGACCTCTCTTCCGGAAATTATAGCCAAGATCCATTCAGTATAGATGAAATATAAACCACAGGTGGGCTCTGTTGTTGTTGAACAAAATCAAAATGCCCGAGTGGGCGTCTGCAATATGGAGACGTGTGTACTCGGGACAAGAAGTTAGTCATTACATTATATATTTAGGAATATTTCCGATATAAATAAAATATATCTGTAAAAAGCAAATATTATATAAGAATAAAAGAAAAACTTTTATTTCCCGATACGTTCATATATAATATATAGCAATTATATTAATAAATAAATAAACAGTAAATAGGTAAATAAAAATTACCACCCATATATATATATATATATATATATATATATATAGGAGTCTCCCGTCGTATTCGACGTATGAGGCTCAAGCAGCTCAGTTGCCAGGAACCGACAGCCAGACACCAGCACATATGATTTGATTATAGTGGCGAGGGCTTTGTGCGGAACCAACCACGCATTTTGAAGGGCCGAATACAGAGACCTGGTGCACTACGTGCCACAAGGTCCCCAAACCACCCTCTGTAGGTTTTGAATTCAGAGTTGTCCTTCTCCTAGACCATTTGCTATCCAAGGATATAGAACCCAGTCTCTCCTGCTATTTACCCAGTCTGTCCTGCTATTTTCCCATATATATATATATATATATATATATATATATATATATGTGTGTGTGTGTGTGTGTGTGTGTGTGTTCGTTAAAAACAACGTACTGCGCGTGAGTTTTTTTTATTATCTCAGTTTTGGGGGATTTCATTATTTAAATTTTGGATTTTCCTTCTAGCTGTTTTTATTTGTCATAAAAGTAATTTGTTTTTTGTTCTGAAAATTGCAGTATTACTTTCCTTGTTGGCTGCCAGGTCATGTAATTTAATTGCGTGTGTGTATGTCGGGGATGAATGAAAGTCACTAACTTGATACAGAATTAATAATTGAATTTTGTTTTGAAAATTTCTCTCACATTCATTTTTTTCTGTGTGATTAATCATGGAATTTAAGCAGGTATATCAGATTAGGAATAAATAGGTACAAACAACCAAACTGAGAGATATTTACGAACATGATATAATGGTAATTATATACAGGTTTTATGATTTGGAAAATCAACATTCAAAATCCGAGTTTCTACCTGAGCTTGAACAACACCTTTTGGCGCCATTGGAATTACGCAACTATCTCAGCTACATGGCAAATTCAGACTCTTTTAATGGGAACAAATAAAGAATTTTCTATTCATCTAAAAGATTAATGATGTTATAGATTTCTGTGTTTGTTCGCCTTTTGGATTTGGTTTTTGTTCAAATGTCGTAAATTAAAATAATATTTGAAAAATATTTTTTTCAGTTGTTAAAACTATGCTCGAATTTCGCACTATTTTCCAAGAACACATGATTTTTGTTATAATCACAAAGCCTTCGATTATTGTGCAATGGCCATCAATACAATAACAGTTGAACAATGACGTTTTTCACAAAAACACTTTCATGGAGTGGGCGCCCAATATAGCATCGTGGTTAGCAATCTGGTCGGGTAAGACATTTCACTCATCTAGTGAGTTCGATGTAAAATGCGGAGAGATTAGCTTTTAACAGCACGAGAAATAGAAACAAGGAGACGTGTTCAAATTCTAGCTATGACATTTGAAGAATACTTTGCATGAGAAGAGTTGTTCCCCACCCCGTCTATGGGTTAAATAATTGAGTAGTCTGAGCTCTCTCGCCACGTACGCCTTCCATTCTAGAAGGCTATCACTGAATTGAAAATCATAGTGAAAACCACTCCACTATCTTTCTCTAGTATAAAAATGGTAATGAATTGTAAATACACATTAAAAGAAACTCGTGGAGAGCCATGATTACCTACGTCTTGAAGGAACATATCTTTTAACTAGGTGTTAATGCTGACTGGATAATTCATTTCTGTGATCTTATGCCAGGCTATGTTATGATTTGCAAATAATCTTTCGAGAATGCCGCTGAGCGCCCATCCGCATCTCACTACAGACCCGTCAGCTTCCTCAGTGTCATTAGCAAAACTTTAAAGCTGTAATGAACAAAAAGCTTGGCAATCGCCTCAGATGCACATATATTAAACCACTGTCCTGCTGGTGTGTGTTTAAACCAGTGCATATTTTTCTTCTTCCTTTTTTCATGTATTGTGAGCATTTTGCTACTTATTTTATGTTACGTGTCCTTTCAGAACAGAGACAATCATGGCTCTCCTCTTCACCCCTATCCCTTGAAACTCTCAATAGGTTTTGTCCTTTGGCTACTTCTCGCAGACCCTGCTCTGTCATCTACTTTCTTAAGCCCCTTAGGTATGTCAAGTGTTGCTTTTCCTTGTCTCTCTTTCTATCTATTCATCCTGTGAGTATCAGATTCTCCAAGCCATCCTTCCTCATTATGTGTCCCAGAATTTTCAGTTGGTTCTCCTTGATGTTAAGTATAAGCTTCCTCATTGTTTGCATCCTCTCCAAAACCTCATTGTTGCTCATATTTTCGATCCATGGTATCCTCAGCATCCTTCTGTACAAACAAAACTCCGTTGCCTAGTGTCTCTTCTTCATCTTTGAGGAGACCGTCCAACATTCGCTGACGTAAAGGAGAACAGATGTCACGTAGCAGTTCAGTAGTCCTTTCTTCGTTACCAAAGAAACCCCCTCCTGTCTCGTAATACTCTGCCTAGCTTTTGGAATGCATTTTTGGACATCCAAATACGTCTTCGAATCTCAGCGTCGCACTTACCGTTCTCTTAAGCAAGGAGTCGAGATTACACAGAAAGTCCCATAATGATGGGATCCAGCAAGTATCTTGGATTATAAAAATCACATAGATTACCAAATATATTTATTAAATAACAGATATACAAGAGTTCAACATATTATAAGATTTTGCTATTTCCTACAAGTATCTGATATACTAATATTTTGCTGACAGTGGGCCCTCATAATGTGTGCTTTTGAAACGAGAGAGCGAGTTCGTGCATGTGCTCTTCTGTGTGGTGACCATCTTAGGAATGTAATATTCAAATCGTTGATAATATTTTGAACTTTTGTATATAGGTAATGTAATAAATATATTTGGTATTTTCTCACCTGCTTGATTTTAGTGTCCCCGACCTGTGAATCGCATTACGGGTTCATCCTTTTACTGATGACCATACATTCTGTCGTTTTCTAGTTTATGCTTAGTCCCTTCTTCTTGCTCTCCTTCACTACCTTCTGTGGGAAGTTTTGTAATTTATTTTCCGTGTCTGCTATCAGCGCTGTGTCCTCTGCGCATTTTGCTTAAAGTTCATCATTTCGTGATTTCAAATAGGAAATCAGAAATTTTCCGCCATATTTCAGTGAAACCTTCACTCTCCAAAATTATATTTTATAATTATAGTTTAGATATATGGAAAAAATACGATGTCAGCCTAAAATAACGTCAGGAAGATATAGTTTAAAATCTTTTTGAAAGAGTTTATATACATCATGTCACTTTATGCAGTTAGTGCATTTTCTGTCGATGATGTCACCACTACCCCCCCATCTCACGATTGTGGTTCATGGTGGTAGAATAGTGCAATAGTGTTTGCTGGTTAATCTTACACCGTTCCATCCTCTCAGAAGTAGATTTGTTTCTGGTGTTAGCTTTGCCTAAAGAGACAGGACTTACAAGGTGATTTGAGTTTTCTTCTTATAGATTGGTTGCCACCCAAAGTTATAGCATCAAGCTTGTCCTGCTATTTTACCCATATGGAGGAAGAGATGGATTCATACCTTTTCCAAGTGTATTAGCACGTAAGAGAATCCAATGAATTCGACTGGAATTCGAACTCGGTTCTCTGCTTGCTTAATCCGATCATCTAATTTGAATCTAATCTAGACATTTTCACACCGTGCCTCTATCTTTTATATACATTGAAAAGGAACTAATAAAGAAGAGAACATTTCAGGAACAAAACTTTGGATGTTAAAAAGTAGAGAAATTTGCCCATCCCCCTGCATTTAAGTTTGACCGTATCACTCTCAGACCATACGTGCATATCAGGCTGTTTGCATTCCATTACAGACCCCCGCCCACGTACGTGTGCATCAAGTTCTTTTTGTGTCTCTATTTCTGCATGCTTGCGTTTTTCACCAATTATTTCTTTATCTTTGTAATGCAACTCACCACTTTCTTTCTCTCTGTCTTATTCATTCACTTTCTCTCTCTCTCTGTGTCTTATTCACTCTCTCTCTCTCTCTCTATCTCTCTCCCTCCCTCTCTCTCTCTCTCTCTCTCTCTCTCTCTCTCTCTCTGTGTCTTATTCATTCACTCTCTATCACTCTCTCTCTCTCGGTCTTATTCACTCTCTCTCTCTCTCTTTCGGTCTTATTCATTCTCTTTCTCGCTCTCTCTTTGTCTTATTCATTCACTCTCTATCTCTCTATATCTCTCTTTCTCTCTCTCTCTCTTATTCTTATTCACTCTCTCTCTCTCTCTCTCTCAGTCTTATTCATTCTCTTTCTCTCTTTGTCTTATTCATTCACTCTCTATCTCTCTCTATCTCTCTCTCTCTCTCGGTCTTATTCACTCTCTCTCTCTCTCTCTCTCTCGGTCTTATTCATTCTCTTTCTCGCTCTCTCTTTGTCTTATTCATTCACTCTCTATCTCTCTATATCTCTCTCTTTCTCTATCTCTCTCTCTCGGTCTTATTCACTCTCTCTCTCTCTCTCTCTCTCGGTCTTATTCATTCTCTTTCTCGCTCTCTCTTTGTCTTATTCATTCACTCTCTATCTCTCTATATCTCTCTCTTTCTCTCTCTCTCTCTCTCGGTCTTATTCATTCTCTTTCTCGCTCTCTCTGTCTTATTCATTCACTCTCTATCTCTCTCGGTCTTATCCATTCAATCTCTCGCTCTCTCTCTCTCTCTCTCTCTCGGTCTTATACATTCAATCTCTCTCTCTCTCTCTCTCTCTCTCTCTCTTATCCATTCAATCTCTCTCTCTCTCTCTCGGTCTTATCCATTCAATCTCTCTCTCTCTCTCTCTCTCTCTCTCTCTCTCTCGGTCTTATACATTCAATCTCTCTCATCATTTATGTGTATGTTCTTATGTGCGTCTTCTGAATATGTGTCTTTAATGTAACCACTGACCGTGCGTCTAATGTAATCTGATTATACACTTTGCATCTCATTTCCTCCTTCTCCTTCTCTCTCTCTCCTTCCCATTCTCACATTCTTTCTCTTTCTTCCTGCCTCTCAGAATGGACACATGCCCCCACCCCCACCTCGACAACTTCCAACGCACTTGTCGGCCTTAGTGTCATTTTCCATCGAAACTCTTTTAACCTTTCTGACACACAGACTTTGACCTTTTCTCCCCGGATACCTTACTCTCTCGTTTGAAAAAAAGACACAGACGTCCAAATGGAAAATCGAAATGAAAGGTTTTCAGATATGCATGAAGATGGGACATGAAAAAGGTGACCAAAATGACCTCGTGGGGTGGGGATAGAAAAAAATGAACAGCGATAAGTAAATATGAATCTCGTTTTTGTCTTGTTATTTTTTTTGTTGTTTTGTGGGGGTTTCTTTTTGTTTTGTTTTTTTTTTGTTTTGTTTTTTTTTTTTGTCTCTGTGAGATCGGAGACGGCGATAGGGAGGAATGGGTAAGGATCTATCCGGTTTCTTCTGAACTAAATGGATTGTTTGAAAACTGATCGATAAGCACAGTCAAAAGAAAGAAAGAAAGAAAGAAAGAAAGAAAGAAAGAAAGAAAGAAATATAAAGGCAGAGAATAAGAACAAAAAGGAAAAGGAAACCGAAAGAAAGTAAACAAACAGAAATAAAGGAAAAGGAAGTAAACAAAAAAGGAGAAAATAAAAAGAAAGGATGAAAGAGAGAAAAGAAGAAACAGAAAGGCAGAGATTAAAAATGGATGCCAAAACGAAGAGAAACAATAAAAGAGAGAAAGATACTAAGAAAGAATGAAAGAAAGAAAGAAAAAACATAAATAATATGAAAAGTGAAAAGAAAGAAAGAAAGAGAAAGGTAGATAGCAAAAAGTGAAGTAAGAAAAGAAAGAAAAGGAAAGAAATCTACACGCAAACAAAGAAAAGCAATGAAGAAATCAAGGGAAGCATAAAAATAAAAAACAAAGAAATTAAGAAAAGGAAACAAGGAATCGATCGAAAGGAGTAAAGAAAGAAAAACTTCAATAAACCAAAACCAAGCAAATTTTTTTAAAAAATTAGAAAATAGCACAAAGAAAAATGATAAAAGAAAATATGAATGAAAACCAGAAGGAAGAAAACTGAATGAATAAAGCAAAAAAAAAAAAAAGAAGAAATTAAAACGAGAATGAGAAACAAAGAACATCAAATGCTGAATGCCACAAACCATAAAACAAGAAAAAGAAAAACAATAGAAAATGAAGATATGAAGAATGGTTGTGAAAATGTTTTTTTTCTGAAGAGAGTCGAAAAAATATTCGGCTCCGAGTCTTCGGATTATTGCAAAGAGACACATTATCTGTCTCTCTACCTAGATTTATTCATTATCTATTAATCTCTGTCTCTCTCTGTCTCTCTCTCTCTCTCTCTCTCTCTCTCTCTCCCGGCAGTATGATGATATGGGCTTGAATTGTCGACCAAACCAATATTTGACCATTCAAAGTCGACGAAGGAGATAAATTGAACAGTGCTAACTATTGTGATTTCATGAACAAAACTTTCTCTGAATGGTACAAGTCTAAGTCTCGTAGTTTCTAAATGAGTGCGTATATATGCACGACAATGCTCCTTCTCGCTTATCTAAGGACGATCTATAGGAAGCAATTAAAACCATGTCCGAAAATGAACCTACTCCTGAATTAAACAATTTATACACTTTAACAAAATCAAAATAGACAAACGCCGAAAACGCTTGATTTCCTGGTAAAAAAAAAACTCTTAAGATTTCAATATTACATTACTGAGCTGGTCACCACTCCGAAGAGAACATACACGAGCTCGCTTTCTTGTTTCAAACGCATACATTATGTGGGTCGACTGTCAGCAAAATCTTAGTATATCAGATACTTGTAGGAAATAGCAAAATCTTATATGTTGAACTCTTGTATATCTGTTAATTAATAAATATATTTGGTAATTGTTGTGTATGATACACCTAATTTACATAAGTGGAGTACCGACCATATAAATATGGGTTGGTACCGGAAGACGACGGAAGATTAAGAGATCGAATCCAGAGACTCTGCCCGACTGCGACTTAGTCAACCCATTCTGCAGGAACAGTCTTCCCAAGAATATACCAAAACTACCTGTAAATATTGTGTACCTTTTTTCATTGTTTCAATACATTTTGTTACGTATATTTTGTGTTGTATTATTATTATTCCATGCTTATTCAAGCTTCAACAGTAATCTATGTGATTTTTATAATCCAAGATACTTGCTGGGTCTCATCATTATGGGACTTTCTGTGTAATCTCGACTCCTTGCTTAAGAGAACGGTAAGTGCGACGCTGAGATTCGAAGACGTATTTGGATGTCCAAAGATGCATTCCAAAAGCTAAGCAGAGTATTACGAGACAGAAGGGTTTCGTTGGTAACAAACAAAAGAGTACTGAACTACTACGTGATATCTGTCCTCTTTTACATCAGCGAATGTTGGACGGTTTCTTCAAAGATGAAAAAGTGACACGAGATAACGGAGGTTTGTTTATACTGAAGGATGCTGAGAATACCATGGACCGAACATATGAGCTACAATGAGGTTTTGAAGAGGATGCAAATAAAGAGGCAGCTTATAATTAACATCAGGAATAGCCAGCTGAAATTTCTGGGATACGTAATGAGGAAGGATGGCTTGGAGAATCTGATACTCACAGGATGAATAGATGGAAAGAGAGACAAGGGAATGCAACACTTGGTATCCTTTACTCTGTCCTCCTTTACGTCAGCGAATGTTAAGCATAAAATATGAAATTAAAATTTATACCATATTTTTTTTAAATTTTAGATGTTACCGTGTTAAATACATTTTCCTAATATTTTTTTAAAATATAATCTTAAATTTGTAAATATTTTAAAGTAATTTTTCTTTATATAAACTATCAATTTATGCTTATTTTATATTTTTTGCTAGAAGAGATTTGAAAATTTTGTTTATTTCTTAAAAAAGGAGAATATTTATTTTTTGGTTTATAACTAAAATTCACTATTTCCTATTTTAATTGTTTTAAATTCTTTGAACTCCTGTCTTTAATTTTGTGATTCTTTTTCAACCTGATTTGGTATGCTAATATTTTAAAATATAGGTCAAGTTTATATTAACTGCCGTTTTGAGTCAGAAACTTCCACTTCCCCTTCCATGATACGGGGTGTTAGTTTACCTTAATGCCCCCTGCTTCCTTTCTTGCCTTCTTTCTTTCTCTCTTTCTTTTTTTATTTTTACTTTTTCTTTTTTCATCTTCTTTTTTCTTTTTCTTTTTTGAATGTTTAAATTTTAAGTTCCTATTTTATTCCTTCACACTTCTGAGTTGATAATGCTAATATAGGTCTTCTTGTTGGTTGAAATAGCTATTCGAATGAGGTAAATTTGGATTTCTCTTCTATGTAATTTATATGCTCTGTTATAAAAAATACATTGAGCTCTTTTTGTGGATCAGTTTTAATATTTTATATTATTAGGATTCACTTGGATTATATACCAACAGATTATTACATACATATATATATATATATATATATATTTGTGTGTTTGTGTGTATGCGTGCGTGTGTGTGTGTGTGTGTGTGTGTATTGGAAGACGGAGATGAGACAGTTATGGAAATAATGTCATTAAAGTAGGCTAGGCCAATGGAAGTCGAGATGGTGAACAAAGGCAAATCGTCTTATATAAAACGCAAAGGATGAAATCTAACATAATGGTTAATCAGGGCATGTGACAGCATCCATTCCACAGACAACCAATAATTTCAATGGTAAGATGCTGCCAAAGCGAAGAACTTGCATATGAAGTGTTGGGAGGGGGACAGGAAGAGGATTCGCTAAGCCGAGGGAAGAACTGACAGCACCTGCTTGATGAAACGCTCTAAGTGGTTATGAGATGTGCGTGTGTGTCTTGCAACGTAAGGGATAAATTAACGGACAGGATAAAGAATGATGTCTTACTGGTCAGTGTCATTTGCCTATTTGATAGACATCGATTCGTTAGCCACTGATCAGCGATTTGAGGTATCAGTTAATTTGGTGGGAATAGATTTAATGAAGGATGTCGGGGACCAATGCTCACCTTTGACCCTCCCCCCCACGCACACACATACACCCACAAAGCCCGGCAGACTGCTAATGGTCACTGTCGGTGAACTTCCATGCCTATTTCGCAAGATTCTGAATTTGCAACGTCATAGCCTATTAGCGTCACGTTGGCTTAAAATAGCAGAAATCATCTATAGCCATAGCTGATCTTTAATCTCTTTCTCTAAGAAGTTTATCTTAGGAATTTTCACGGATTAAAGTATGTTGCTACTTAAAAACAGACGATGGCAGATTATGTTAAGCTAGATAAATATTTAAATATATATTTATTAAAAAAAGGTTGTGGTCAACAATTCTTGTATTCAACTGTCATTGAAGTGATTTCGAATTTTCTTGGAAGCTCCGTAAATAGGTTAATCAAATGACAATTTTTTTTTTTTTTACTGGCTTCATATGAAAAACCATTACATGAAATCAATGGATAAAGAAATAAAAAATTGTTGAAAATGTTAGTATTATAGGAGTTGAAGTTTAATGTAAATGGTGACATTAGTTATGAGTCACTGTGGGTAGATGCGTTCGGTTATGACATCGCCGTCGTTGCTTTCATTTACGAGGGTCAACAAAGATGACATAAAATTTTGAGTGCATTTCCCTACCGTAAAGAGTCAGCAACTGTCTTTCTGCCTGTTCATCTGTTTACCAAGTTAATGTTCTTGATACGATTGAAACAGATATGAGACACTTAAAATGCAGCGCATACCGTGTAACATTATGTTAGGTTGTCTCCCGTTTACGATTCACTAAAGATGTACTCTCAAATATTTGGCAATCCCTACATATATATATATATATATGTGTGTG